TGGGATGAAGCCTACTTGGTCATGGTGGATGATATCTTTTATGTGTTCTTGTATTTGGTTTGCAAGTATTTTATTGAGTATTTTTGCGTCAATGTTCATAAGAGAGATAGGTCTGAAGTTCTCTTTTTTTGTTGGGTCTTTGTGTGGTTTACTGCTTCCTCAAGATCCATCTATACCACTCCTAGTCATATATCCAAAAGGTGCTCAAGTACACAACAAAGACTTTTGCTCAACCATGTTTGTAGCAGCTTTACTCTAATAGCCAGAACCTGGAAACAACCCAGATGTTCATCAACGGAGGAATGGATATAGAAATTGTAGTACTTTTACACAATGGAATACTACTCAGCAATTAAAAACAAGGAAATCATGAAATCTTCAGGCAAATGGTGGGAACTAGAAAAGATCATCCTGAGTGAGGTATCCCAGAAGCAGAAAGACACACACAATATATACTCACTTATAAGTCGGTACTAGACCTGTAAGATAGGATAAACATACTAAAATCTATATACTTAAAGAAGCTAAACAAGAAGGAGGACCCGGGGTAAGATGATCAATCCTCACTTAGAAAGACAAATGGGATGGACATTGGAAGTAGGAGAAAACAAGAAATAGGACAGAAGCCTACCACAGAAGGCCTCTGAAAGACTCTACCTAGCAGTATATAAAAGCAGATGTTGAGACTTATAACCAAACCTTGGGCAGAGTACAGGGAATCAAATGAAAGAAAGGGGAGTTAGTATGACCCAGAGAGGACAGGAGCTCCACAAGGACCAAATATATCAGGCACAGGAGTCCTCTATGAGACTATTTCTCTGACCAAGGACCATGTATGGATATAACCTAGAATGCCTGCTCAGATGTAGCCCATGGTAGCTCAGTATCCAAGTGGGTTTCCCTAATAAGGGGAACAGGGACTATTTCTGACATGAGCTCAATGGCCGGCTCTTTGACCTCCTCCCCCTACCCCTGCCCGAGGGAGAAGTGGCCTTGCTAGGCCACAGAGGAGGACATGGCAGCCAGTCATGAAAACACCCGATAAACTAGGGTCAGAAAGAAGAAGAGGAGGACTTCCCCTATCAGTGGACTGGGAAAGGGGCAGGGAGGAGATGAGGGAGTGAGGGAGGGTGGGGTTGGGAGGGAATGAAGGAGGGGGTTATGGCTGGGATACAAAGTAAATAACCCATGATTAATATAAAAATAATAAAAAAAGAGAGAAAAATTACCCCTAAACCTCTAATAAAATAAAAAGACCTACTAAGCAGACAGTGGAAAGGGCTGTTTTATTCCAGCAGCAGGTTTGCTCGTTTGTTTCCACAGGATGCTTGTCCACCTTCATGGTTGCCAGACCAGTTGACTGTGGCAGGATTTTCCCATTGTCTTAGAGGCAGAGACTTTTGCTTCTGCCACTTCCTCCCCTCCCACCTCAGTCACCATTAATGGGTGAATGTGCCCTCTGAGGAGTTAAAGTAGAAATGACTGTTTTTTTATAAGAGTACAATTGTGATAGAAAGACCTGGAGGGAACAGGAGCTCCACAAGGAGAGCAACAGAACCAAAAAATCTGGTCACAGGGGTCTTTTCTGAGACTGATACTCTAACCAAGGACCATGCATGGAGATAACTTAGAACCCCTGCACAGAAGTGGCCCAAGGTAGCTCAGTATCCAAGAGGGTTCCCCAATACTAGGAACAGGGACTGTCTCTTACATGAACTCCTGGGCTGGATCTTTGATCACCTCCACCTGAGGGGGGAGCAGCCTTACCAGTTCACAGAGGAAGATAAAGAAGCCAGTCCTGATGAGACCGGATAGACTATGGTCAGATGGAAGGGGAGGAGGACCTCCCCCTATCTTTGGACTCGGGGAGGGGCATGGGAGAAGAAGAGGGAGGGAGGGTGAGATTGAGAAGGGATGGGGAAAAAAAGAATACAATTGTGATTCTTTTAAGGCTTTTAAAAGATTAACTTTTAAGGTAAATAATAAAACAATTAATTACTACTTTGTAACAAGGAATAGTAGACTGTTAGTAAGAGAAACTGGTTGAGAAAATTACCTTGCTTGCTTATATTTTGTTACTGTATAGTAAGTTCCTTAGTTACCAATATATGTGAGTCCCTGGGAATAATTTGTTTTTCACCCCTAACATGTACTACTTTTAATCAGGTGAGGGTATTGGGAAACATGTTTTTGCCTAACTATGCTCATTGTGATTGTTCACTTAAAGGAAAAGAGAATGTAACCATATTGTAAGTTTGATACTGCTTGAAAGATTTGCTGGGATATGCTGGGATATATAAGATGTGGGAGAAAAGAACAAAGTTGTTGGAGCTTTGCTCTCTCCACCATCCACCAAACGTATATGTGTGTATGTGTGAAGTTGTTGGAAATTTGTTCCATGCACCCAATATGTATGTATGTATGTATATAATGAAGATTGTTGGCTCTTTGCTCCATCCACCAAATGCATGCATGTATGTGTGTACATATGTATGTGTGTATTTGTGTATGTATGCAAACATGTATGTATGTATGTGTGAGGTTGTTGGAGCTTGTGAAGCTTCCTTCATCCACAAAGTGTGTGTGTGTTTATAAATCTCCCCCCCCCCTCTGCCTTTTTTTTTTTTTTTCTCTCATCTGTCCCAGAAAGTTTCTCTGGTCCCTGAGTCTTTCTTGTAGCCCCAGGGAGTCTTTTCAGTCCCCAAAGAGAGTTTTACACCAGCCCCAGAGCGTATTTCACAGGCCCCAGAGAATCAAGCTTTCTTTCCTCAGAGAAAAAGTCTGGTGAGCGATCAATGCCAACACCATGTCCTACCTTAGTTTACCCTGTTGATGTCAAGGCTGATGTTTGGCATCTGGTTCCTGCAACAGAGACCTGAGGAAAGTAAGCTCCTTATTCAGGGCACGGAGACTATTTTTACACCTAAGGTGTGGCAGGACAACTCTCCCCCCACAACACACACACACACACACACACACACACACACACACACACACACACA